CACCGTCAGGGCCTGTTCATATAACACAGAACACCTTCAGGGCATGTTCATATAACACAGAACATCGTCAGGTCATGTTCATATAACACAGAACACCTTAAGGTCATGTTCATATAACACAGAACACCTTCAGGTTCATTTAACACAGAACACCTTCAGGGCATGTTCATATAACGCAGAACACCTTCAGGGCATGTTCATATAACGCAGAACACCTGCAGGTCGTGTTCATATAACGCAGAACACGGTTAGGTCATGTTCATATAACACAGAACACCTTCAGGTTCATTTAACACAGAACACTTTCAGGGCATGTTCATATAACGCAGAACACGGTTAGGTCGTGTTCATATAACACAGAACACCAAGTCATTAGCGAATTTAAGCTTAGGAGTTCATATTCAAGTAGTTATTACCAAACCCATCACTTACACTACAATGGAAGAGCTGTCTCCTGTTGACGCGCTGTTTGTTCACCCACTAAGATAGTGTCGGTGTCACGTCAATAAACACAATACAAACATTGATATGTACTTCTGCTATGCTGTGATGCATGCTGATATTTTCAGCTCGTGTTTTGACAGGTGGCACCTGAATACGTTTCTATCTCATATTGCCATCGAATAAAACAAATTCTCCGAATGTCCGCCAGTATTGATTTTGTTAATAGTGTGGCATAAGCCGAGTGGCAGGTGTATTAGTGAGTTTCTAAACGACAGCAGATTGTGAAGAAATGTTTGGATTTCTGTCAATAACAGGCTGTACATGCCGTGTATAATGTCGACATGATTTATCTGATAGTATGACGGTTTAGTTTTTTAACAGAAGAATATAACATCTTTTAATGAATAAACTGTCGCGGTTCACTAAATATTCAGGACTTCGGGTTAACGAGTGTTCGCTGAATGTACAGGACTTCGGGTTAACGAGTGTTCACTGATGTACAGGACTTCGGAATAACGAGTGTTATCTGAATGCACAGGACCTTGAGTTAACGAGTGTTCACTGAATGTACAGGACTTCGGGTTAACGAGTGTTATCTGAATGCACAGGACATGAAGTTAACGAGTGTTCACTGTATGTATAGGACATCGGGTTAACGAGTGTTTACTGAATGTACAGGACTTCGGGTTAACGGGTGTTCACTGAATGTACAGGACTTCGGGTAAACGAGTGTTCACTGAATGTACAGGACTTCGAGTTAACGAGTGTTCCCTGAATGCACAGGACCTTGAGTTAACGAGTGTTAACTGAATGTATAGGACTTCGGGTTAACGAGTGTTTACTGAATGTACAGGACTTCGGGTTAGCGAGTGTTCACTGAATGTACAGGACTTCGGGTTAACGAGTGTTTACTAAATGTACAGGACTTCGGGTTAACTTATGTTCACTGAATGTACAGGACTTCGGGTTAACGAGTGTTTACTGAATGTACAGGACTTCGGGTTAACGGGTGTTCACTGAATGTACAGGACTTCGGGTTAACTTACGTTCACTGAATTCACAGGATTTCGAGTTAACTTATGTTCACTGAATGTACAGGACTTCAGGTAAACGAGTGTTCACTGAATGTACAGGACTTCGAGTCAACGATTGTTCACTGAATGTACAGGACATCGAGTTAACGAGTGTTCACTGAATTCACAGGATTTCGAGTTAACGAGTGTTCACTGAATGCACAGAACTTCGAGTTAACGAGTGTTCACTGAATGCACAGAACTTCGAATTGACGATTGTTCACTGAATGTACAGGACATCGAGTTAACGAGTGTTCACTGAATGCACAGGACTTCAGGTTAACGAATTTTGACTGATTGTATATGACTTCGGGTTAAGGATCGAGTGTTCCCTGAATGCACAGGACTTCGAGTTAACGAGTGTTCACTGAATGTACTGGACTTCGGGTTAACGAGTGTTCCCTGAATGCAAAGGACTTCGGGTTAACGAGTGTTCACTGAATGTACAGGACTTCGGGTTAACGAGTGTTTACTAAATGTACAGGACTTCGGGTTAACTTACGTTCACTGAATGTACAGGACTTCGGGTTAACGAGTGTTCACTGAATGTACAGGACTTCGGGTAAACGAGTGTTCACTGAATGTACAGGACTTCGAGTCAACGATTGTTCACTGAATGTACAGGACATCGAGTTAACGAGTGTTCACTGAATTCACAGGATTTCGAGTTAACGAGTGTTCACTGAATGCACAGAACTTCGAGTTAACGAGTGTTCACTGAATGCACAGAACTTCGAATTGACGATTGTTCACTGAATGTACAGGACATCGAGTTAACGAGTGTTCACTGAATGCACAGGACTTCAGGTTAACGAATTTTGACTGATTGTATATGACTTCGGGTTAAGGATCGAGTGTTCCCTGAATGCACAGGACTTCGAATTAACGAGTGTTCACTGAATGTACTGGACTTCGGGTTAACGAGTGTTCCCTGAATGCAAAGGACTTCGGGTTAACGAGTGTTCACTGAATGTACAGGACTTCGGGTTAACGAGTGTTCCCTGAATGCAAAGGACTTCGGGTTAACGAGTGTTCCCTGAATGCAAAGGACTTCGGGTTAACGGGTGTTCACTGAATGTACAGGACTTCGGGTTAACGAGTGTTCCCTGAATGCAAAGGACTTCGGGTTAACGAGTGTTTACTGAATGTATAGGACTTCGAGTTAACAAGTGTTCACTGAATATAAAGGATCACATAATCACGTGAATATACCATAGAATTTTATAAGCCAACTGAGTGGAGAGCTTAACAATTGCTTCTGGTCACTTGAAATGACTGAACTATTTTCAATATATATTTCAAACAAACATTTGAGCATTCAGCTGGCCTCAATCAGATACATCGATATCTCGGTAGGCGCTGATCGGAAGCCATGTTGGAATTATTGTCACTCACGTGACATACTCACCGCCAAAAGAAATGCGAACCATGGAGGCATATAGAGAAGTATGTACGTTAAGAAGAGATGTTTCCAGTGTGTACCAATTAATGACAAAACTAACAATCAATCAAGTGTTACCACAAAGTTGTGGGCACGGATGTCCCAGTCGTCTTAGGTGCCGCCATTCGCTGTGCAGAGTTGCGTCCCTTGGGCACGCCAGAAACACATGATTGTGGGTTCGAATCCCGGTTCGCCCCGATTATGTTTCTAGGTTTGTCAGCACCATACCCGTGCCGAAGTGGTAAACCTCTGAGACCTGCATCACTTCGGGCTTTCCTCCCACATTAAGCTAACGCGCCGTGATATGATTGGAATACTGTTAAAAGCGGCGTTAAACCCAACTCACTCACTCACTCACTACCACAGAGTGACTTTATTCTTATCACGATATGCTGCACGGGATTTCCAAACTTTACACGCTAATCCTGCACAAGACAAATGGTGCATCTAGAGTCATGGATCTCTGACGTCACACGTGATGCATTCATGGGCGTCGGTATGTTCGTTTATGTATAGAACCAATCTAAAATCTCTTGAATATGAGAAAATCTTCGTATATTTAACCAACATGTATGGTATTCGCGGTCCTTTGATCGGTGCTTGATTATCAGGGCTTTAACAAACATATATTTTAGAAAACGTCCACCTTTGTGTGCGAGTGAACCCGGAGGTGCCCCTATCACCTCCCTCCACCTCTGTGCCAGGATCCGCGGATTGTGAGTTCGAATCCCGAATCCTCACGGGACTTGTGCTGGTGTCACCAGAGAGGCCAATCATTACCCGACCGCCTCCGTGGTCTAGTGGTAGAGCGTCCGCCCGGAGAGCGGAAGGCCGGTTGTTCGATCCCCGGCCGTGTCACACCAAAAGACGGTTAAAAGATGGTACTTATTGTTACCCTGTCTGGCGCTCGGCATTAAGGGGCTGAAACAAGGACTGGCCGGCTCAGTCTACTGTGTCTGAGTGGGGTATTCATGTTAAACTGCGGCATAGTATCTCAGTGTGCTGGCACTATAAATCGGCATCAGTCCGGACTAGTACAAGCAGACACACACACACACACACACACACACACACTCACACACACACACACACACTCACTCACTCACACACACACACACACACACACACACACACACACACACACACACACACACACACACACACACACACACACACACACACACACACACACACACTCACACACACACACACACACAAGTGCCTCACGTCGCTATATAAGTGCAATAATCTTGGACGCGACGTTAAACCCCATTTCACCTCACCTCTCCCCTTCCAAACAGGTTCCCGTGGGGATAACGGCTACCAAAAATCCCCGAGCACCCCTTCTTGTTTTAACAGCTGACAAAAGAGGATGCTTGGTGTCTTGGGTCAATGTGTGCCATTACACCCCAATGGCGTGGATCGTCTCTGTTTTTCCTGGTCTCAATTCAATATTTACAGGCCACCACTCACCTCTACACAAAGAACTGCTATTCATCAGTCATTATTATCACTTCATACGGTACTTCTGTGAAACAGTTTCACAGTGGTATAAGTGCGTCTTTAACGATGAAAATGTGTGCAGCTCGACGTCCATTTCCGTGTATAACGGAATAAGCCGAGTTGACCCGAGTAGTTCCGACGTGTTATGTGAATAACGGAATAAGCTGTTTCCCTGAGTGAATGGGGCATATCTGCATTCAACAACCCAGATAATGAAACCAGCATTGTAATCGGGATGTGTGTCTGGGGTGTTTGGAGTTTCATAAACGTTTCATAACCCAGGGCGATACCGACGGCAGTATTCATTGCATCGTATTACGTATATAATTGATTGACAGCTTTTTAATCCCGAAGCGGTCTAGGTAATCACATATCACTAACAGACTTGTAATCTCGTCTACCTGAACAGTATTCAGTATACCACACGTGGGATGGGATAGACCTGGCACACTCGCGGTGACTCACACATAGCGCAACATGAAGCATCAAACATTGAAACATTTCAGTACAAAACCAAAACCTCAGTATCTCATGCTTGCCTCTGGGACTCCAGGGCTGAATAGATCCCCGTACTCCATGCTTGTCTTCCTGTTGGGGTTCTAGGGCACAGTAAATCCCTGGTATTTCATACTTGCCTTCCTGTTGGGATTCTAGGGCAGAGTAAATCCCTGGTATTTCATACTTGCCTTCCTGTTGGGATTCTAGGGCAGAGTAAATCCCTGGTATTTCGTACTTGCCTTCCTGTTGGGATTCTAGGGCAGAGTAAATCCCTGGTATTTCATACTTGCCTTCCTGTTGGGATTCTAGGGCAGAGTAAATCCCTGGTATCTCATACTTGCCTTCCTGTTGGGATACAAGGGCAGAGTAAATCCCTGGTATTTCATACTTGCCTTCCTGTTGGGATTCTAGGGCAGAGTAAATCCCTGGTATTTCATACTTGCCTTCCTGTTGGGATTCTAGGGCAGAGTAAATCCCTGGTATTTCATACTTGCTTTCCTGTTGGGATTCTAGGGCAGAGTAAATCCCTGGTATCTCATACTTGCCTTCCTGTTGGGATTCTAGGGCAGAGTAAATCCCTGGTATTTCATACTTGCCTTCCTGTTGGGATTCTAGGGCAGAGTAAATCCCTGGTATTTCATACTTGCCTTCCTGTTGGGATTCTAGGGCAGAGTAAATCCCTGGTATTTCATACTTGCCTTCCTGTTGGGATTCAAGGGCAGAGTAAATCCCTGGTATCTCAAGCTTGCCTTCCTGTTGGGATTCTAGGGCAGAGTAAATCCCTGGTATCTCATACTTGCCTTCCTGTTGGGATTCTAGGGCAGAGTAAATCCCTGGTATTTCATACTTGCCTTCCTGTTGGGATTCTAGGGCAGAGTAAATCCCTGGTATCTCAAGCTTGCCTTCCTGTTTGGATTCAAGGGCAGAGTAAATCCCTGGTATCTCATACTTGCCTTCCTGTTGGGATTCTAGGGCACAGTAAATCCCTGGTATTTCATACTTGTCTTCCTGTTGGGATTCAAGGGCAGAGTAAATCCCTGGTATCTCATACTTGCCTTCCTGTTGGGATTCTAGGGCAGAGTAAATCCCTGGTATCTCATACTTGCCTTCCTGTTGGGATTCTAGGGCAGAGTAAATCCCTGGTATTTCATACTTGCCTTCCTGTTGGGATTCCAGGGCAGAGTAAATCCCTGGTATCTCATACTTGCCTTCCTGTTGGGATTCAAGGGCAGAGTAAATCCCTGGTATTTCATACTTGCCTTCCTGTTGGGATTCTAGGGCAGAGTAAATCCCTGATATCTCATACTTGCCTTCCTGTTGGGATTCAAGGGCAGAGTAAATCCCTGGTATCTCAAGCTTGCCTTCCTGTTGGGATTCTAGGGCAGAGTAAATCCCTGGTATTTCATACTTGCCTTCCTGTTGGGATTCAAGGGCAGAGTAAATCCCTGGTATTTCATACTTGCCTTCTTGTTGGGATTCAAGGGCAGAGTAAATCCCTGGTATTTCCTACTTGCCTTCCTGTTGGGATTCAAGGGCAGAGTAAATCCCTGGTATTTCATACTTGCCTTCCTGTTGGGATTCAAGGGCAGAGTGAATAAATACCTGATATCTCATATTTGCCTTCCTGTTGGGATTCCAGGGCAGAGTAGATCCCCAGTACATCATGCTTGTCTGCCTGTTGGGATTCTAGGGCAGAGTAGATCCCCCGTCTCCGTGCTTGTCTGCCTCTTTGGATTCCAGGGCAGAGTAGGCCCCCAATACCTGGGATTCCAGGGCTGAGAAGATCTCTTATCACACCTTACATTAAAATACTAGCTTCTGATTGGTAGAGGAGCGGGCAATAATTTTCCATGTTGCCCGCTCATTTACCCCGCTAAGAAATCAATCGTTACCCACCTTCGGCAACTTGTTATCTCGCATAAGTATCGTTGAGCTCAAATGAACCGATGTTTATGCCTTCAGGATCCCTGCATCCCGATCTCGAGGGGTATAAGGTGTGATGTGCCCTGTGTGTACGCCTGGCGGTCGGGGTGCACTGGCTCTCACACAGGGAACATCACAACACATACCTCTCGAGATCGGGATGTAGGGATACTGAAGGCCCAATGCCTCATGCCTGGCTCTCCATCATTACCCTGGACGACATCTACCTCGAGTCTCCTTCGTCACTCAGGACTACCTCTAATTGGAGTCTTCACCATCACTCAGGACCACCTCTACCTGGAGTCTCCACCATCTCTCAGGACCACCTCTACCTGGAGTCTCCACCATCACTCAGGACCACCTCTACCTGAAGTCTCCACCATCACTCAGGACCGCCTCTACCTGGAGTCTCCACCATCTCTCAGGACCACCTCTACCTGGAGTCTCCACCATCTCTCAGGACCACCTCTACCTGGAGTCTCCACCATCACTCAGGACCACCTCTACCTGGAGTCTCCACCATCTCTCAGGACCGCCTCTACCTGGAGTCTCCACCATCTCTCAGGACCACCTCTACCTGGAGTCTCCACCATCTCTCAGGACCACCTCTACACTGAGTCTCCATCACTCAGGACCACCTCTACCTGAAGTCTCCACCATCACTCAGGACCACCTCTACCTGAGTCTCCATCACTCAGGACCACCTCTACCTGGAGTCTCCACCATCTCTCAGGACCACCTCTACCTGGAGTCTCCACCACCACTCAGGACCACCTCTACACTGAGTCTTCACCATCACTCAGGACCACCTCTACCTGGAGCCTCCTTCATCACTCAGGACCACCTCTACACTGAGTCTCCACCATCTCTCAGGACCACCTCTACCTGGAGTCTCCACCATCTCTCAGGACCACCTCTACCTGAAGTCTCCACCATCTCTCAGGACCACCTCTACACTGAGTCTCCATCACTCAGGACCACCTCTACCTGAAGTCTCCACCATCTCTCAGGACCACCTCTACACTGAGTCTCCATCACTCAGGACCACCTCTACCTGAAGTCTCCACCATCACTCAGGACCACCTCTACACTGAGTCTCCATCACTCAGGACCACCTCTACCTGGAGTCTCCACCATCTCTCAGGACCACCTCTACACTGAGTCTCCATCTCTCAGGACCACCTCTAAACTGAGTCTCCATCACTCAGGACCACCTCTACACTGAGTCTCCATCACTCAGGACCACCTCTACCTGGAGTCTCCACCATCTCTCAGGACCACCTCTACACTGAGTCTCCATCACTCAGGACCACCTCTACCTGGAGTCTCCACAATCTCTCAGGACCACCTCTACCTGGAGTCTCCACCATCACTTTTAGGACCACCTCTACCTGGAGTCGCCATCACTAATCGTTCGTAGCTAACAGCTGCACAGCTATCGATAAACAAGATTTACTCACTCACACCAACAGTAGACATTAATCAACTTCATCATGTCATTGTCTAAAACTTCCAGATCACACATCACACACTCAACAGCAGAATTACAGGCGGAATACACAGTGCATGTATACACAGATGCATGACACGTGCACTCATTGCACCTGCGCGTGCATGTGCGTGCATACCCGCCGGGCGGTGCTTCCAGTCGACCAGGTGTCAAGCAGGTCTCGACGACCAGTCACCCAGGGATGCTACACTAGAACACTTACCAGTCAGAGGTTTGCACCTTCTGAGACAGCAGGCTTCACTGCACAAACACGGTCTCTGGGGAATTATGACAATCTAGCAGAGTGTTCATTATGCATTGACTCGCACTGTGACACTGTTCTCGTGTAGACCGTGGCGGGTGACTGATGGCGACGCGCTGGACTCAGTGCTGTCGACAGTTCAACCAGTAAACAAAATATATTAATAACGAGTCGTTCATTATGGAACGGTTGCACATTCATATTGATTATAACATCATTTTTGTTATTCAAAAATATGTGTTACCCGATTGATTTGAAACTATGACATCACTGTGTTTTGTTTAACGCCTTCTAAAACAAACGGTATTTCAGTTTTATCGAACGATTATTGCACTTATATAGCGGGTGAATGCACATGTGTGTGTGTGTGTGTGCGTGCGTGCGTGCGTGCGTGCTTGTACTAGTCCGGACTAATGCCAAATTTGTAATGCTAGCCTACTGAGATACCATACCACAGTTTAACATGAATACCCCACTCAGACACAGAATACTGGTTCCGAGTCGACCAGTCCTAGTTTTAGCCCCTTAATGCCGAACGCAGGGCAGGGAAACATCAAGTACCATCTTCTAACGTCTTTTGGTATGAGGCGGCCGGGGATCGAACCCCGAGCTGCCGCTCTCCGGGCGGACACTCTACCACTTAACAACGGAGGCGATCTTACATCGAGTGAGTGAGTGAGTATGGTTTTACGCCCTTTTTAGGAATACTCCAGCAATATCACGGCGGGGAACAGCAGAAATGGGCTTCACACATTGTACAATGTAGGCAATCGAACTGGATAGTCTGGTCCAGATTCGATTATTTACAGACCGCCGTCACAGCTGGAATATTGCTGAGTGCGGCGTTAAAGAACAAAAAACAAACAAACAAACAAACAGTTATTATTACATATATATACCGTTACATTTAAAATTTCATCTGGAATATTATATTCAGCCTTATACACAACTTATTCGGGGCCTATATATATACAAGTTGTGAATACTCGAGAAGTAGTGAGTGAGTATGGTTTTACGCCGCTTTTTCGCAATATTTCAGCAATATCACGGCGTTGGACACCAGAAATGGGCTTCACACAATGTACCCATGTGGGAAACCCTCACGTTTTAAGGAACTCACATATTGCTTGATTGAGTTGAAAGGGCGATGAACACAGGCTGCTGTCCAGAGCTGAGAATGGGATGGAACAGGACGAGGTTCTGGGTTGGTTGGTTTGTTGTTTAACGCCGCCCTCAGCAATATATGACGGCGGTCTGTAAATAATCGAGTCAGGACCAGACAATCCAGTGATTAATATCATGAGCATCGATCCACGCAATTGGAATCGATGACATGCATCAACCAAGTCAGCGAGCCTGACCACCCGATCCCGTTAGTCGCCTTTTACAACAAGCATAGCCGCCTTTTACGGCAAGTATGGGTTGCTGAAGACCTATTCTGAGACCATGGTGGACATGAATGTAGGAAGAACAAAATATATGTAACTTACATTTATCAGCTAATTAACAGACATATAAGTTTAGTTTGTAGAATACATACCATGTTTGTATTATTGCACAAAGGTGTTTATATAATTAATTAGGAGAGTATGGCCTCTGAGAGTACATGGCCTCTGATTCGTATTGGTTAATTGAGTACATAGCCTCTCTCGTGCTCTACAAACACCAATTGCCTGTGGACATTTGATCTGTTTTGTCTTATAAAAACACAATAATTGTTGATAATAGGGTCACAATTTGGTAACCTAAGTCAGCTGATGTTATGTTTTCTGATAATTTCTCCTTGTGAAACTGGCTTCTAAGTTTGTTTGTTGTTTAACGCCGCCCTCAGCAATATTCCAGCTGTATGACGGCGGTCCAGACAATCCAGTGATTGACACTATGAGCATCGATCCACACAATTTGGATACGATGACATGCATCAACAAAGTCAGAGATCCTGACCACCCAATTCCGTTACAGACTTGTTACCCTGCCTGGCGCTGGGCATTAAGGGGCTTAAACAAGATCAAGGCTCGGAATCAATATGCTGTTTCTCAGTGGGGTATTCATGTTAATCTGTGGCATGGTATCTTAGTGGGCTAGCAGGTTCACATTAACACATTCAGGTAGTTTGTTTGTATAACGCCCCACTCAGCAATATTCCAGCTATATGACAGCGGTCTGTAAATAATCGAGTCTGGACCAGACAGTCCAGTGATTGACATCATGAGCATCAATCTATGCAATTAGGATAAGATTACAATTCAGTGAGGCTGACAACCCGATCCCTTTAGTCGCCTCTTGCGACAAGCATAGTCACCTTTTACGGCAAGCATGGGTTCTGAAGACCTGTTCCACCCCGGATCGGCTTCTAAATAATATGGTATATAGAGCTTTCTAGTTTTTGACCATTACACTACCGACATGGACGTTCTTAAGACCAACAATATTTCTTTTCAAAATAGTTGTGACTTTTTGTTTTCCCCTGTAACTTTCTTTTCGATCTCTGCGCATGCGTCGCTGATCATAGCATTTCCCTAACGCTACGGGGGGCACGGGTGGCCCAGTCCTCTAAAGCGCGATTCGCTGTGCAGAGTTGCGTCCCTTGGGCACGCCAGAAACCTATGATTGTGGGTTCGAATCACGGTTCGCCACGATTATGTTTCTAGGTTTGTCAGCACCATACCCGTGCTCGTGGGTTTCATCGAAGTGGTAAACGTCTGAGACCTGCATCACTTCGGGCTTTCCTCCCACATTAAGCTGACACGCCGCGATATAACTGGAATATTGTTAAAAGCGGCGCTAAACCAAACTCACTCAGTCACCCTAACGCTACGAATATAGTAGAGCATATATTAGCTAGCATAGTGCATACTATGCTATCAAAGCAGTTGTAAGTCAGACATGAGATGATGCCAACATTCCTATCTTAGTGACACAGCGATGTCGCAGCGACTGTTATGCGAAACCATCCACCACCGCAGGACGATTAGGAGAATATGTTCTAATGGATGTGAAAACATGATGGCCCTGACATTTCAATGTTTTAGCTACAATGAGTTGTGCAATATCACTTCGTGTGGCACATGGTACAACATTAGATTCAGCTTGTAGAGTAGGCAGCGAGATAGCCTCGTTGTTGAAGCGTTCACTTGTCACGCGGAGGCACGATTTCGTTTCCGTACAATGGTACATTGTGTGAAGTCCATTCTTAGTTTTCACCACCGTGAAAAGGTGAATGTGGTTTAACACCGCATTCAACAA